CCCAGGCACAAAGGGAAGCAAGCATGCAGTGGATGACCATTTCCAGCAGCAGCTGCCCCACCCCCTGTCTCACCTCACCTCACCTCATCCTATGGGACGAGCTTCCCACCCATTGCCCCACCCACCAGAGACCCCTGGATTCCTTCCCTAGCCCCACCCAGTCCCCACAGTGAGTGACGCCATGACCCCTGGGCCAAGCCCAGTCAGCTGTGACCACCCTGGCCACGCCCACTTTCCCTCCCCCTCTCCCCAAGGACAACCACAATGCTGATCCAGCCCTCAATGAAATCTAGTTTGACATCCCTGCTCTAATGAAATGCAATAGAAAAAAATATCAGCAGAAGGCAAGGTGGCTATGTATAATTACTGATAATCACAAGCAACACTTTACAGAACTCAGAGAGATAGTTACTGACAAACAATCCTGGGAAGTCAAGTCATGTAGAAGCAAATGTGACTAAAAACAATATAGGTACAAAATTGAAGGAAACTTTTGCCCCAATTGTTTTTTTTTAATTCTTTTTGTTAACTATATTTGATGATATGTTTTGTTATTTGAAATATATATGTAGCTGAGCTTCATTGTTACAATATCATTGTTATATTTACATCCTGTTAAGGATTTAGGAAGCAGTTGAGAAATATTGACATGTGCCTCAGAAATGGGCAGCTGGGGGGTGGGGATGAAAGAAAGAAATTGAAGATACATTCAAAGATAAATCAGATTTGAAATGAAAGGGATCCAATTACTGAAATGCTTGTAATATCCTTTTTCTTTCTTTTAAATAATTTTTTTTTGAAGAAAACTTTTGACGATACTTGCTTTTAGTGAAGAATGTTATGCTAATCTCAACAGTTCTTCAACTCTCCTTAAACAGGAGTCATATTGTTGAATGAGGTTGTGACAGCTCAACTCCGGAAACATTGTCGGTTGCTGAATAGGTTGCTAATGCCTTGTTTCAAATATCAGAATAATGTTCATGCATAGGTGAATCAACTGGCTAAAGTCATTGCTCCAATGATGCTGGGTCAAGAATAGCAACTAGTCTGTTTGGGATTGCTGTGACTGCACCTCGTTTATAGTTCACACCGGCAACTAAATTTTGCTTAGCATTCAATTACCATTGAGAACACAAGCAGGAATCGGCCGTGCTTGAAACTAACATTTCTGAAACCAAGCAAATTGCTCTTAGAGCATAAGATCTGTGCTGCAAAGTGGCCACTAGATGGAAGCAATAGTTTAGAATTTTCTGTGTAGTATCTACTGGAGGTGATCTAGTCATCTAGTCACCCAGATCTGTTGTGTCTGATCCTTGCATCACCAGTAACACAATTGTGGGAAAGGAAACATTTTACAAGTTCAGCTGCTGAATCTAAGCAACTATCGCTGCTGTTCTGACATGTCCAGCTCTGCCATCACGCTTGCCAACCACCTTTTTCTTTCCTTTCTATTGGTCTTCCCCTACTCAGTTTATCTTAACTCTCTCCTTGTCTTGCAAATTGCTATTTTTATTTTGGAGATCATTTCTCTGTGAGAATTGCATAAACCTGATCCTTCTGTCACAAAATTAGCAACTTCTCAACCACAATTGAAACCTGAGTTAGTGACATGGATATCCAGGGAATGACAAATGGCAGAGACACTTTTTGTTTTGCTGTACCCAAGAAAGGATTTTCATGAAGGTAATGAAAAAAAAATGGCGGAGCACTCAGTTGCTGCAGCTTTTCGCTCTCCAGTTTGGCGTGTGTTTTTGGTGATATATGTGTCTGAATCTTGTTGCATGGGGTGGTGGTGGGGGTTACAGCCAACAAGAATTAATATGCTATGGACTGCAGTCTGCTAGAGTTATTGTGTCAGATTTTCAGAGGACTCACAGTGTTCCCAAGGAGATAATAAGACCACCAGGATCTCCATGGATTGTAGTGGGATCGTTTCAACGGCGCAGACAGCACAGAGAAAGAATGCAGAGAAGGGGCTGCAGAGCAGGAGTTTTAACTCACTTAAAAAGACAGCCACACAAACCACCGTTGCCGAGTATCTTTCTCTCAAACGCTTGGTCTCTCCTCAATAAAATGGATGAGATTAATCTGATGGCAGCGACAATCACATGATAAGGGACTGCTGTGTGATAGTTATTACAGAGAGCTGGCTTCACTCAACTATTCCCGATGCCTCACTACAACTGGCATGTCGTACCATCCACCAACAATAAGTGTGCTGTCCCAGCCAGTCTATAAGAGTTGGATAGTTACTTAGGAATTATGAGCTGTTCCCTTAAGGGAATGCATCATGGTAAATGTAGTTAAAGGTATCCTGGGAAATGTAGTTCATCTCACGTGGCCACATCTGTAATCCTGATTGGTCACTGAATTGACGCTTGGTAGGTTAAGGGAGTTTTCCCCATTCTTTGTCTGAACTCTCTACCTCATGGCATCTTCCCTCTATCACTACGAGATGAGTTAGGAGATAACCATCTTTCACGTACAAGGCAGATATATGAAGGATTGGTCATTAAAGAAGAACTTCATCATAAATGTGAGTTATGAAGATACCTGATGTACCAATAAATGAACTTTGTTATGGAAGCTTTGTTGAGTTATCTATCTGCATCTGCACAGCTATAAATCTAGCTCTGTACAAGGCGGAACAATAAGGACTCTAGTAAGACTAAAGGAGGTGGACTTTGTTTATACGTTCATAATAACTGGTGCACCAACATCCGTGTTATAAACAGATACTGGTCTCCTGATTTAGAGATGATGACAGTCATGTGCAGATCCTAGAGAATGACAGTGGTCATTTTACAGCTGTTTACATACCTCCTGGGGCAAATATTAGTACTGCACTTGCATATTTGCATATTACAATAAATAAACAACTTAAGACTTATCCTGATGGGGCTCATTTATTAACTGGTGATTTTAATAAGGCATGCTTAAAGACTGTATTTCCTGAATTTACGCAGTATGTGACATGTGCCACTAGAGAAAACAACACACTTGATCGTGTGTATTCTAATGTAAAACATGCATATAAAGCAGTGTCCCTTCCACATCTGGGACTTTCAGGTGATTTATCACTGTTCCTTATACCAGCATACACCCCCTTCAGAAGGAAAACTAAGCCTGAAATCAAACTCATCAAGATCTGGCCAGAGGGAGCACTCGATCAGCTGCAGGACTGTTTCTCAAATACTAATTGGAATTTATTTGAACAAGAGGATTTGGAGGAATATACAAAAACTGTTTTACATCTTGACCTGTGTGGATATGGTTATTGTAAATAAGCACATCCGGATTTTTCCAAACCAGAAGCCCTGGATGAACAAGGATGTGCAATTACTTCTCAGAACATGTGATATGGCATTCAGGTCTGAGGACAGAGTTTGGTATAACAAGGCAAGAGTGGAACTGAGGCGGGGCATCAAGGAGGCAAAAAAGGACTACAAAGGGAAGATTGAGGACTACTTCACAAATAATGATCCACGACAGGCTTGACAGGGAATTAAACACATCACTAATTACAGGGGCAGCAACCCCATAATCGATCAATAAGGATGCATCACTGGCAGAAGAATTAAACTGCTTCTTTGCCTGGTTCGAACTGAATAGGTCTTTTTTTTTTTCCACTGTATAGTAAAATGTAGGTTTTTACTTCCAGTAAACGGTTAAGCAAAGTTCAACATACAGTCCAAGTCATACACAGTTAAAGCAGTCAGTTTTCAGTCCAGGGATAATCAAAATCAAAGTCCAGTATCATATACAGTTCAGTAACATCAAATCCAGAACTGAATAGGTCTTCAAACACACTCCCTCTACAAACCACCAGTACTCAGCTGTTCACAGTACAAGAGTATGATGTGAAGCAGGTGCTTAGAGCAGTGAATGTAAAGAAGGCCGCTGGCCCTGATAGGGTACCTGGGAAAGTACACAAAGCGTGTGCTGACCAGCTCGCAAGTGTGTTTGCAAATATTTTTAACCTTTCTCTTACACAAGCCATTGTTCCATCTTGTCTCAAAACTTCCATTATTATTCCAGTTCCCCAAAAGCCCTCTCCTGATACTTTAAATGACTAATGGCTCTCACACCCATAATTATGAAGTGTTTTGAGAGACTAGTCTTAAAATATATACAAGATGGCCTCCCATCAAACCTTGGCCCATACCAGTTTGCCTATCAGAATAACAGATCCACAGAGGATGCTATTGCCATGGCTCTCCACGTTGCACTGAACCATCTGGAGCATAGTGGGAGCTATGTAAAGATGCTTTTTGTTGATTACAGCTCGGCTTTTAATACCATCATTCCGGACATACTGATTAAGAAGTTGCTAGAATTGGGCATCTCCTCTCACATCTGCTGTTGGATAAAGGACTTTCTTACTAACAGACTCCAAACTGTTAGGATTGACAGGTATTTTTCCTCCACTCTTGCTCTCAGCACTGGCTCTCCACAGGGTTGTGTCCTGAGCCCCCTTGTATATTCACTCTACACCTATGGCTGCACTCCTTCTTGTCCCACTAACTCTATAATAAAATTTGCAGACTCCACCACATTGGTGGGACTCATATCAGAAGAAGACGAGACAGCCCATAGGTCAGAGGTTCTCAGACTGGTCTTGTGATTCAAGAGTCATAACCTTGCCCTGAACACCAAAAAGACCAAAGAATTGATTATACACTTCAGACGATGCAAAGCAGAGCCTCTCCCACTATATACCAATGGAGATTGTGTGGAAAGAGTTCATAATTTTAAATTTCTAGGAACTCATATTTCCAACAACCTTACTTGGTCGGTCCACACTATGGCCACTGTGAAGAAGGCCCAACAGTGCCTGCACTTTCTGAGGCTACTGAAAAAGAGTGGTCTGGGTAAGAAGTTGCTGGTTACTTTTTGCCGTTCTACCATCGAGAGCATTTTGGTATACTGTGTAACAGTGTCGTATGCTGGATGCTCTGTAGTGGATAAGTAGATGCTCCAGAGAGTTATAAACACAGCACAGAGATTGCGAAGACCAGACTCTTCTCTAGAACACTAAAATCTCCACAAACCGTTCTCATCCTGGACATTCATATTTTGAACTGTTACCATCAGGGAGACGTTATAGGTGTCTTAAAATGAGGACTAATAGACTGAGAAACAGTTTCTTTTCCAAGGCAATAATTGTCTTGAATCAAAGAGTATATTTGTGATTTAGTTCTATGTATAAAGTGGCATTTTAAAGCTATCTAACTTAATATATGTTTTAAATAGGTTTTAGACTAGGTTTTTAATTATTATTATTATTACTTTAATTATTTTACTTTTTAAATACTTTGTGGTGTGATTGTGATGTGGTGTTTAGGGCACTGTGCTGGAGTAGTTTTCAAATTTCATTGTATTTTGAATGCAATGACAAAAAAGCTATTCTATTCTATTCTATTCTATTCTATTCTATTCTATTCTATTCTATTCTATTCTATTCTATTCTACTCTACTCTACTCTACTCTACTCTACTCTACTCTATTGTGAGCAGAAATTCCAGGAGATTACCTTGTATGTGAAAAACATTATTGGTCAGTAGGGAGCACCCTTGTTTTAGTTCAACACTACTGGCTTCAGCAGAAGAAAGATGAGAATCGTGCTGAGTGTGTGTCTAAAATACAGTAAGCCCATCCTGTCCTTGTCTCGCACCACTAAACTGTACTTCTAAGATGTCAACAACCACACTTAAAATCAGTTGATTTAACATAAAGACAGTTTAAGTAGAGACGGCACATCTAGGAGGAAAAACCGTCTGTTCATTATTTATATAAACTCTCAGAGAATAGTTGATTTATTTGAGAATAATTTGAGAGTAATTGATTTGTTAGTTCTTAAGTTCCAGTCATATAAAAATTAATAATTAGTTTAAAATCATAATGTAAGTGCAAGCAAAAAATAAAAACAGTGTTTTTAAAATAATAAAAGCATATAATTTAGAGTGTTTGTTCTTCCCTGTGTTGGAAGAAAAATCCAGTCTGGTTCTGTAGGAAGTTAGCACCCACCCCTCTCCTAGAAAATTGAAATATCCTAGGAAATATTAAAAAGGCAGAATATTTCCCCTAAAAAAAGTAGAAACTCAGAAGCAGAAACTTACCTCAGAAGTAGAAGCTCACCCCCACCTTCGTTAATGGTGGGCCATTAAGGCCTGGACCAGCATACTTTACATAACAAAGATCTCCAGGTAAAGCTATAGCAATTGCCCAAAAGCCCTTTCAGTGCATCACCATCCAGCAAGGCTCCACCATGCCTGGAACTCAGGACAGCCTACAGAATTGCTCCTGCATGGTCCCATGGGAGTCTTACAACCAATCAGAATACAAGCTCCAATTCAAATCCCAACAAAGGTAATAGAACCCAGGCACTCTCAGCATATCAGGTCTTTTCGATCTCTTCCTTCACCTTGAAGCATGTGATCATCCTTCTTTCTTTGGAGCTCTAAGCTATGTGGTCTCATCCACCATTAAACCATCTTTCCAAACAGCCTCCATGTTTCCAGTGTCTCTTTCCCCACTTGGAACTGAACCCAGAACGATAATTCTCACAACAGTTCCAAGCCGTCAGAAAAATGCTGGAAATAAAATGGAGGCTGACTACAAGAAAAGAAGGTCTCTGTTTATTTGCTTTCCAGACACTTCAGTGATAGCAGCATGTTTCTGGAGTGGCTGACAAAATGGCTGAATGAGTGGGTGGATTTTTATAGGGTTCGGTGTGTGTGTGTGTGTGTGTGTGTGTGTTGGTGATTGAATGCTCCAGCGGGTGGGGGAATGTAAATTCTTAATCCCATCAGCTCCAACCTGAGGGAGCTGTTTGAAGATGTTTTGTTTATGAATAGCCTGGCTTGGATTTCTTAATGGGCACAAAATATCCATCTCTAAAGGCTTCAAGATTCTGCTTGAGGCAACTTGAGTTTTCCTATCAGCAGGAAGACTGTGGCTGCTTTCTGCCTTTAAGAGCACGTTTCTCCATTTTTCCTTTGGGGAAATATAATATTCTGCCTCTTTTAATATCCCTCAAAATATTTCATTGGGGGGGGGGAGGCTTCCCACACCTGACAAAGCTTCATATACATTTACTCAGTAATACTTAAAGTACTTACAATACTTACAAATACTTTGTCCTTGCAAGATAAATCAGCATTACTTAAAATTTAAAAAGGCTAAGTCTGAAAGAAAGTAGATTTTATGAATTACTTTTTATATTGCCTAATTTTATACTCTCAAGAATAAGTTATCATATATAAACTCACTGCAGTGAAAAATGATTCTTCAAGAAACATCCCCCAAATATTTCCTCCATAATACAGTAGAAAGTTAGCACCCATCCCTCTCCTAGAAGAATGGAATATTCTAGGAAATATTAAAAAGGCAGAATATTATATTTCCCTGGATAAGAAAAGGAGAAACATGTTTTTTAAAGAAAAAGCAGCTCCCTGCCCCCTTCCAGCTCCAGATTAAGACATGGTCCTCAGGATATGATAGGATTAGCCCTCTATCCATCTCACCACATGGCACCTGGGAAGATTACATAACCCAGCAAGATTCAACCAAACTACCCCTGCATGGCCCCATGGGAGTCTGACAACCAAGCAGGATACATTTCTTGCCACAGGAATAGGAATCAAGTTCAAAGCCGAACAGAGATTATAAATCTCTCCCCCGATCTCACCCATGGGCTTCTTCTTCTTCTTCTTCTTCTTCTTCTTCTTCTTCTTCTTCTTCT